CTTTGGGTACTAGTTAGGACTTTATAGAACATTTGTTGTATTATAGTGACTGTAGTGTAAATGTAACAAAAAATATTTTGGTGAAAGGAAAAAATCTCAAATGATTAGGTTAGTAATGGTGACTAGATATGTTACACTATAGAACAGAGATGACCAGCACCTACTTTTAGGCCTTGTGCCAATTTAATGTATATTATTAATTAATTAAGTACTTCAGTTTCAATACCTCATTAGATATGACTAATATAATCTATAAATTATTGCTTTTATAATAACTTTTTATATTCTTTAAAATAATTGTTTTTCACTTTTTGATAAACTTGTGATAAAAAAAAAAAAAAAACTATTAAAAATTGATTATTTGGTACAAGGCTTCAAATTGTTTAGCTGCAGTTTCCTTTGTATTAATCACTAAGCTATATTTACAGATGCATTGCTTGAGAAAGATTTTGATATTGCAACAGAATGACTAGGAGGAAATTTTGAAAAAAAAAAAAAAAAAAAAAAAAAATGAAGATTATTGAAGGTTTTTCAAGGAGCCCAGTTTAGAAATGGCTGTACCAATCACCAACAATTTTTTTTTAAATCGTTGCAAAATAAACATTTATATTTATTCACATAAATTTTGTCTTTTTCACTTTAAATTCACATTTGGTAGAAAAAGAAAATAAAAAAATACTTTTTTTTTTTAATCCTCTAACAGAAAATTTGACATTAAACATGCACACACAAAGTTACATACAATTTTATATATATATATATATATATATATATATATATATATATATATAATGCTCTGAATGGAACCAAGTATCTACAAATGTAAAACTGATAAAGAGATATATTTTAAATCTGATAGGTGAACATTTTTTTTTTAATCTTTTTTTGATGGGAAGGGGTCCACTGTAAACTGTCGTTGTTAATGTGAATAGTCTTTTGATCAAAATCATCATCCCCACCCCATAAAAAAATGTTTGATCTGTCCATCAAATTTGGCATGAAAATTTAAGAAAAAAAAAAAAAAAAAGACATTTTTCTTGTATATAAAAATACAACAGAAACAATCATGACATTCTATAAAGCAGTTTTGTTTTTTGTCCCAAAGAAAGCCATTTCATGCAAAACTGAGAAGAGGAAAAAAACTTAATAGAAAATAAATAAATATATATATATATATATATATATATAATTTCTTGTTACTTATTACAGAATGTTTGTCAACCAGATAAAATGATTAAAAGTATTACACTTTAAAATAGTAGAGTCTATAATCATAAAACCAAATGTTTTAAATACAATTATTATAAATTACAAAGAAAGGGAGCAATATTCTCTCCCCCCACTCAAAGCATTTTTTGTTATATTTCAGTTCCAATTCTTTAGCAAGATATCGAATCAATAATGAATGGCTGAACAATTTTAATACATATCATTATGTACCTTAAAATGGGTAACCAAAATGATTTGATCAGTTCATTAATTCTAATTAAGCTATATGAATCTATTTTTTATTTATCTTATTTACATTTGAACTAATGTCTTCATCTTTGTTTTTAATCATTTCACCCCAAGCAAGGCAATAATGCCATTAAGACACAAGGGGTTACTGAGTGTGAAAGAATGAGAAAAAGAAAACATTAAAAGAGGGAGAACAATAAAAGGACAAGAATTAAGACAGAAGATAATGATTGACATTGCATTTAAATTTTTGAAGATCAAAATTGCAAAGCCAGAAGCTGGAAAAGTTTCACAAGTGATAAGTGTGAGAGAAGAAACTGTTAGCATAGAACTTATGGTTACATCTAGCCATTTCAATCTAGTACTGCGCTTAAATTTGTAAAGTCGAGGTATCATAGAGGGTAGTTCATCAGAACGATTACCATGAATCTGTTTATGAAGTTATATTTATAGAATGTAAATTTTTATTTGTATAAGTATTTAGTTTTGCATTGTTTCAGATAGCAACATATTTTGATTACACTGAAAAAAATTTTTTTATTGCATATGTGACTTTTTCATATGCTGTCTTATAGCAATTACAGCTGCTAGTATTGGAAACCATGAAAATATCTACATTAATCCTCCTAGGGGGAACTATGAATATAACCATCCAAGGCAAAAATTAGTGCATCTTGACAAAGTGAGGGTGGGGGAACATCTTTAAATCACTATTTAGAATATACAAAAAACATCAGTTTTATTTTCAATTCAAATTCATGTTCAAAAGAAATTTAAATGTGAACAAAACAATTTTTTAATGTGCAATTTACAAAAAGAAATTAAAGGTACTGAAATAGATATAAATTAAATGAAACTACCATTATATTTTGTTAGAGGATTTCCAACAGCAGCAACAACTAAAATAGATAGCACATGTAATGTGAAGAGAAAATAGTGACATAATGAAGATGTTAACTTTTCAGACTACTTTGAATAAGAGGTTAGGAAAGAAGCCCCCATCAATAATGAAAAGGGCAAAAACTGGAACGAGACTAGAGAAAATTTAAAATTTACTGAAAAATTGTTTTAAGAGTAAGATTTTATAAATTTCAATCCACAGTGGCACTAAATGCTCAGTCACTGAATGCTGAATGTATATAAGGAAATAACTAATATTACCATTTTTATTATGTAATTATTGCTAGAATGCTGAACTTCAAGAAATGTTGTCTATAGATTTATAAAATGATTAAAAAAAATGTCCGTCTTGTGAGCAGTACACAAAATAAAGAAATTCAAATTATTATGTTCGGTGTTCTGTAAATCTTTGTCAATCTTAATATACCTAAAAGTAACAGGCGTAGTAATTTCTATTAAGACATTGTTGCAACTTCTATGGTTAGTGAAGCATAAAAAAATACCACAGAATAATCCATTTCCCTGTTTGTTGCCAAATGAAGATATCATGTCTGGAGAAGAGAAAATTAAGCAGAATTATTATTTTCATTATAATTGATTCAGGAAAAAAAAAGTACTCTTACAATTCAGAGTGAGTCAGAAAAATTAGTTTTGACCAAATGAGAAGTATGAAGATTTCTCATGTCTTGGGCACAGATGGCTTTGAGAAGGGCAATATAGTAATAATAATTTTATTTTTATTATTATAACTATCTTGAAATTTACTCATTGGAACCAATCAGTATGATTTAAGATTTATCAATTCACAAAGATTGAATAGAAAACAACTTATATTTATCAACTGATGTTGATCTTTGTGGTAAAAAATGAAATGAAATAAAATAAAATAAACAGTGAAAATTATATTTTCAACAATTATAAATGACCTTAAATAAAAAACATTCAATTTTCTGCTTTTGAATATCGGTATTTATTGAGAAAAAAGAAAAGAAAAAAAAGAAAGGTCAATTAAAAAAATTTGTTGAAAAAACAAAATCATTAATTATAAAACCTTGAGAGAATATTTCATTGAAAAACATGCTGACAGCTTTTGCAATGGCATTTTCTTTTAATAGAGAAGCACTTGTATGCTGACAATGTATTTGAATTTATTTACATGTAGAATAAGAAAAAACACAGAATTTTTTCTTTTCTTAAAAATAGAAAAGATTTGCATCATCTGTTGTAGATCAGAATATAGATCAGTATTTGCCGAAATTTTCATGCATGAATTGAAAACTGAATTTTATGTTGTAAGCTAAACAAAAAGATGAATGGAAATGATGTAATTACTCGAAAGTTGTGAAGATTAGAATTCTATTTGGCTCAAGTAGAAAAGATTAATATTCAATACAAGCTGGATTAATGATCTATCAAAATATTAATGATTATTCTCTTTAGAATAGTTGTGTGCCTAGACTTTTAAAAGAATTTGTTTTTGGTAGGAATTAAACTTAATTCTGAGAATTCCAGCCTCTTAGTTCTCAAATTATGGAGGTAGTTTTGATTTTTGTTGTGATCTTTACTCATATAGCTTAATGAGTTAAAATCAAAAAATAAATAAAATAAAGAGAGAATAAATTTTAAAAACAGCCAATTTCTTTTGCTCTTTGCTAAAGAGTAAATATGAAAACAATGTAAAAGAGTATTTAAACTAATAAAACTCCTTAAAACTTTAATTTTTTATATAGATAAGATCTAAGAAGAGTAACTCTTATTTGTTGTTCTTATAGACAAAAATAAATGATTTAATCTCATTGTAAGATATTATGCAGGGAGAGGTGGCGAGAAAGTTCTTGACCCGACAATGAATCCTATCCTAAAAATCTGATGTTTTGTCACTTGTGACAGATTTTGGGATGTGGGTCAGCATCGTCTTTTTAGTAACCATATATAATTAAAATCTGCATCCTACAAAGACCACTTGAATAAAAAAAAAAAAAAAAAAAACTTCCAGAAATACCGTAGTTGACCTAAAAAATGGTTGACTGGAAGATAAGGTTTTTAAAATATAAAAAAATAAAAAAAATGCAATTTTTTTTTTGTTTCATATATATATATATATATATATATATATGAAAGTTTGTAATAGAAACAAGCATTTGAAAGTTTGGGAAACTGATTTATAGTTCTGTCCTGCACAGAGTGCAGTGTTAAACCAATGTACTGACTCCACAAAGATTTGATGATCATTGATATGAAGGCATTACAGCCCAAATATAACCAAGCCGATAATTACAAGAGAAAGAAGACATGCATGTTGAAATATTAAATGCATGCTCTACAAGAGATTGCATTTTTGTGTTTAAAAAATGAAAAAAAAAAAAAAATTATTAAAACAACAGATATGATCATTATTCTGATTTCCAAGACAAGGTCGTTGTAAGAACAAAAATCTCAAGAACAAGAAATGTGCAACAGAAACATCTTGGTTTGCAGTCAAACAAAAATCTCTTAATACTTGTACAGCACACACACACACAATATATATATATATATATATATATATATATATATATATATATAAAAACAGTTGCTCACTTTTTTAAAAGTTTGAATTAAACAAGCACATGCATACACACACAAGAAATGGTTTCCCAAATTTACGTTTTCTCTGTCTCAGAAATGGATTCTTTTGTCAAATGTAAAAGAGAACTGTGTTCCCCATCCTGGTCCTGGTAGCTGTCTGAGACAGCAGTTTGATCGGCATGTGAAGCATAGGCACCGCCAGTGGCGCCAAGCTGATTTAAGTTCATCATTTCATTACGTTCTTTCTCCAAGATGCTAACCCGGTCGAGGAGAGCTGCTCGCTCTAATTCTAATGCCTGGATCTTGGAACGTAGGCAAGTCTCATTAGTCTGGTACGTATTGATGGCACTTTCCAGACTGCGGTGATGGCTGTGTGCATTTTGCAACTTATCCATCAGCTCATGGTTCTGCTCTTTGAGGTTTCGATTGGCACCTTCAAGTCTATGGATGATGCTGTTGCCACTGCAGCGTTCTTTTGGTGACATATACACCATCTCTTCTTGTAGCACCTGATATTCCACTTCATAGGCGTGAAGCTGTTTTGTGTAATCAACTTGGAATGCCTGGTGGAGTTGAAAAAAAGAAATGAAAAGTAAATTAATAAAAAAAAAAAAAAAAAATGAAACCAGATTTATATTGATAGTTATTTCGGTCAATTTAACTAAGTCGATTGGCTTTACAAAAGAAAGAAAAACGTTTTATCTTCTCTCATGATCATTTTTATTGGCTGGTTCCCTGGTACTCATTGGTGTCAGGTGTCATAAAAACAGGGTACGTTCATTTAATAGTGGTTCATTTTTTTTTTTTTCGTTTCAGATGGTGAGTGGTGTATTTGAGATCAAGGCAAGAAGTGTGGATTTGTTTTGCCTAGTGAACTTATTGGAGTCGTACTATCTTTTCCTGTGTGTGCTTCCAACCAATTTTTGCAACTTAACCATTTATTTAATGGAGGTAAATTGTTCTCATTCTGTTGCCATAGGGATCTCTCATCTTGTTTTTCCTTAGCTCAGTTACTACTCACCCTGAGTCTTGAGTCTGTATTACCCAGCACAGAGATTGAACTCTCAATTACTATGCTACCAAATACATCATGAACCAATGCTTTACTCCACCAAGCTATTAATCACTAGGCTTCAGACACCTGAAGAAAACCAGAGGTCACAACAACCGAAACATATCAACAAAGAAGACATTGGTCTGAATGTAAACAATGTGTGTCCTAGAAAGTTAGGGAAAATAATTTGAATAATGATGTGATTAAAATATTTTGACTAGATGCTGAAAACTGTTGCACAGCCTCACTTGATCATTGAAGTCAATCACTTTTTAGATTTTTTGGGGGGGAAGGAGGGGTTGCTAAAATGTTGTGATGCAAATTAAATTTTGCCTGAAATTGGTTACTAACCTGGTTGATTATCCGTTCCATCTGCACTAATCCCATGCCGGGAAGTGTGGTTTTCAAAAATTCCACAATGTTCTCAAATGATTCACAATGCATTATAAGCTCCTTGTGATCACCAAGCAGAATGAGGCAGACTTTGAATATAGCATCAATGCCTTGGTAAAAGATTAAGTCTAAAGAAAGAGAAAAAATAGGAATTGTTAGAATTTCAGTTATTAAACATTATTTAACGTTGATACAATGTGGGATATATTCAAAAACAAAAGCAATCAAAAGTTTAATCAGGTCAGTACAATTATGCATCTAGATTTAAAATCTAGTTGTTAAAAATTTTAAATTTAAAGCTAAGCCTCTTAAGCATTTTTTTTTTGTCATTTGTTGTGTTTCTTTATCACCCTTTCTCAATCTTATAGAAAACAACTTAACATCAATAAAATGTTATGAAATTTAGGAAGAAAAATACTCCATATATTTCATATGTATAAATTATGGTCATGTGAAGATACAAGGATGTGATATTTGAAAATGATGAAACTGATACAATGCAAAAAAAAAAAAAAAAAACTTTTAATAACTGCTTATGAGAGCTGGAAGCACTCAAACATTGGACAATTTATATTTAGATACTAGCAGCATGGCCCGGCGTTGCCTGTGCTTGATTCAAAAATCGTACGACTCATACAGCAATCGCTATCACTTGACTTAAAATATTTTTGACCTTCCTTGCCTTTAAAGGAGTGCCCTTTGCCGTGCTGATGTTGCTACATGCCTTACTTCTTGCCTATCTCACACTGTGAATTTTTTTCTAAGCTCTATACTAAACATTAAATCTATTCTGAAAAAGAACTAAACAAAATGAACACAAAACGATCAGCTTTAAAAAAGGACTTGTAACTGGAAAAACCGAATGAAAAAAGAATGTTAACAATAAATACTTTTTCACATCCAACCCAGTTCAGCGGAATCAGAATCAACGTTGAGTTTAAGCAAGCGAATGAGCCAATTGGAGTAAAGTGCCATGCAGATTTAAATTTTTGCCACTTGTGACGAATGCAGCTATTGATTTTTTTTGCATGCTAACATGCTAGTTAACATTTGTGCCAGTCAGCTGTTGGCTCTCACTCTGGCCAGTAGAAGCATGAAAAAATCGATTATTTTCACTATCGATGGGAGTTGGGAAATGCTAACTTGGAGCATGTGCATGTAAATTTTGGTGCAAATTGCGGCCATGCATTCATTACACACACATCCTGCCTTTTAATAGATAGAGATGCACTGGAAATCAAGAAAATGGTCTGAAATATTGAAAAAAAATAAGGAATTTTCATTGGTTTTTAACTAAACTTGTGTGAGTGTGTATATATATATATATATATATATATATATATATATATATAGAGAGAGAGAGAGAGAGAGAGATCAATATAAATATGAATTAAAGAGATATGAGCAACCATAAATGTGTTTGATTATGTTCATATACAGATTAACAAATATTTAATTTTTGGTGTAATCAAAAATATTCAATGTAGTGTAACAGATCAATAAAATATAACTATTAGTACCTGACGATTGTACACACATGAAACTCGGAGTTGTACAACTGGTGTAGGTAAAATATATATATATACACACACAAGTCTGGTTAAAAAAGTACAATGAAAGTTTTTGTTAAAGATTTTTAAAAATTTATTTAAGCATTGTCATTAGAATTCACTGTGCACTACATATATATATATATATATATATATATATATATATATATATATATATATTAACAAACATTATTAGAGTAAATACTCATATTTGAAATAGAAGCCCCATTTTTATTTTTAACAGTCTGTATTACGTCTATTGGCCTGCATACTCAAAAAATCTTAATAAAAGGACATTAGTGCCTTGCTTAACAGTGATGCACTCTGTAATTCCTAAGGGTATTAGTACGCATTTGAATGTAGTAGGTTTGACTGGAATTCAAACTTGGCTCTCCAATTACTCAATCTGAGTTCCTATCCATTACTCCACCGTGCCTCCCAAAAATAGGTATACAGTAATAAAAAACAAAAATGTATTGTATTGATTATACAAACATATCAATGACCAAGGCTGTAAAGACATTAAAACACAAGGGGTTACAGGGTGTGGAAAAATTAAAAACAGAAACATTAATAATGAGCAGAAAGAGGAAAGAGCAATCAGGAGGACAGTAGACAGCGATTGACATTGCATTTAAATTTTTGCAGATTAAAGTTGGCTGGAAAGCATAGAGCCAGAAAGCATGGAGCCGGAAGGCAGTTCCACAAGTTAGAAGTGCAAGAAAAGAAACTCTTAGCATAGAACTTACAGCTATATCTAAACGCCTCAACTGCAAATTTATGAAATCTTAATGCCAGGCTAGTACTTCATAAAGTCTAGGTACCATAGTGAAGAGCTCATCTGAACAATTATCATGAAAGTATTTATTAAAAAAAAGCAGAGAGGCAGCCTTACAGTGGTGGGTAAGTGACTGAAGCCAAGCTGTCAGATCAGGACCAATAATATTGCTGATTATTCTATGGATCTTATCAAGGAGCTCAAGGTAAATACCAGGGGCACTAGACCATATGTGGTAGCAATTTTCTAAGCATAAGACTGGCATCAAGATCTCATTAATTTGCAGTTAGCCCAAGAAGGTGCAATAAATCACTTTCCTGGAGGTTAGCATCAGCCATGCTGGTGGAAGACAGAGATGGGTCTCTCAGATAATTAATGGAAAGAAGTTTAGTTTTGGAGGTGTTAAAGTTAACAAGCCATCTTTTGCCCCAGTTAATGTTTGACTTGAGGTCATCGTGAACATCAGCTGCCATTTTGACCTTGTTGGATTGATCTTCCTTACCATTGAGGTAGGAGTAAATGGTTGTATCATCAGTGTAGATGCCAAGTTGAGAGCTAATGTCATCGGGAAGGTTGTTAATGAAAATTAAAAACAGCATAGGATCAAGGATGGAGCTCTGGGGGACACCCATGTAAGTACAAAAGGATCTAGAAGAGTGGCCATTCAGGATAACTTTCATTTCACGATTTAATAGAAAAGACTGGATCAGCTCAAAAATGTGTCTAGAGACACTGTAACCTAAGCTTGTGAAGAACACCTGTATGCCAGACCCTGTCAAAGGTTTTTGATATGTCCAATGCTACTGCTGAGGCTTCACCATTTTTATCTAGAGTATGATAAATTCTTTCTGCAATTATTCTCAGTACATGAGCAGTTGGCCTGGCGAAACGATAACCATATTGCTTGTCTGAAAAAAGGCTCCATCGGGTTCACATCCTCTGTGGGGATCAAGGTTAGAAATGATAGAAACCATGGATAGGGTTATATGTATATCACTCAACAGAGATTCAAGTGAGTATTTAGGTATGGATGCTCCAGATGAGTCAAGAGTAGAGTGTGAGGAGAATTTACAGTCAAGGCATTCAGCTTTATCAGCAGAGGATGATAACACCTCAAATTGATTAAAGGGAGTGGGGTAGAGACCTTGTACTTATTTAATACCCTATTACAGAACTGCCAGTAATAACAAGAGCCAAAGTTGTTAGAGGTTATGCAGACAGGAACTTAACTTCTTCAAGGACTCACTCACATTTATTGCGAGCAGTAACGAATAGGCACCTGTTGTGATGAGAGCTGCCACACTGGTATAGCCGAAAATAGTGGTTCCTTTGTGCTATAGTGACTGAAAATGCTGGTGTGAACCATGGAGAGGATTGTAGTTACACCTGGTATTTCTGAGAAGGGATGAAAGCATCCATACCGGCTTTGGTCCAAGAAGGAAAAAGCAATTTACTAAGATGAAAATGTGTTAATCACTAGATCCTCCACAGTAAATTTACATCCTGGTTCTTAAAACACTTTCACCTTTCTCGGCAAATCTATTATCACAATGTTGGATATTTAATAAAAGTATAAACAAGATGAAAAAGAAACTAAATGAAATCATTGAGACTATATACCCAAAATACATATTAAAAAAAAAAATTTAAATTTCAGCATCCCCTCTCCTTCATGCACATGTGTAATCACAGCAATGTAAACATCATTTTTGACTGATTATGTCCTAAAGGACAAAACATGTCACATGAAATATTTTTTCCACATTGCCATAGATTTTCCTAAAATATATAACAAGGTGTTATTGTGACCAACTTCTACCAGAAGTTTTGTGTGCATTAGTCAGACAAAACTTCTAGTAGTGGCTAGTCGAAATAATATCTAATATTCTGTCATTTTAGCGCTTTACCATTTTCTTTGTTTGTCACTTTATTACTTTATTATATATAATTTGGGTTAACAAGTAATTTCAAAATTTTATGCATCTCCTTAAAACAAAATTTCACAATGATTTTTTTTTTCTGAGCTGATAACAGTACACAGAAGTATCTTCTGTTGATGTTGAAAATTTCTACAAGATTTTAGCAAAAGTGAAATATATTCAAAGACAAAATCAGTAGAATTGAACACCTACCAAATACTCTGGAGACAAAACCAAGCGGAAACTGGGAAGCAAATATAGTGAGGAACCACGGTGCAGCATAGAGGGTGGGCACAATTTCATGCTCTTCAAAATGCTCGTAGAGGTCACGGTGATTGTCATGGATTAAACGAGTCAACTGGTACAACTTAATCTGGACAGGAGACAAAAAGAAAAAAAAAATGGAAATTATAAGAATGCATTGAATTTATTGTATTTGACATTATTATGACATATGCCAGGAAAATTACTTTGCTTATATAAAGTGTATAAAAATAAATTGCTTATTAAAACTTGGAACATGATGGATCAGAATATAGAGGATTTTTAAGGGGAGTTATTGTTGTTTTGGTACTTAAACTGGGCACAGTTAAGATTTGGAACAGAATTAATGATTATTCTCTTTATAGATTTAAATATTGACAATAAAAATGAAATTGTAATTGATATTGTTATAATAAATTAAATCAACTTTAAGTATATTATTATTATTATTTCTGTTTGAATTTCTGGGATGAGGAGTTACTATTATTTATGCTATTTGCATTTAGACTAATCTCCTCATTTTTGTTGTTGTTATTTTTTGGCTGTTGTGATGAAGGCTATGATTGCACAATGGCCAAACTGTTGCGATAACAAAGATAAGGACAATAGTCCAAATGTAAATAATCATTATTATTTATTTTTATTTCCTTTGAATTTTGTTGTATATTAATTTCTTTTTGGGTTCCAATCATCATGACATTTTCCACTGATTATCATTATTATTATTATTATTATTGATCATGAATTTGTGCATAACTGGTGTTATCTTATTATAAGACAATACTGGGTAGCTCAGCTAGTTTATTATATTGTTTATTCTTTTTGACTATGCAAGATTTTTTAAAATATAATTATCAATATCAATGTATGACATATTAAAATATCTCATCAGCTGCTCCAAGACAATCATTGTTTACACTGTCTTCATCATTTACAAATTACTAGCCATTTCACTTCCAGTTCCAGAATTTGCAAAACAATCCAAATTAATCAGAAGTCTAGATACTATGTCACTTCATGAGCACTGCCATTGTCAGTTTACTAAAATTGTCAGTCAAGTCAGTACTTTCTGAGCGACTGTTCGGTTGTACTCTCTTCCTACGGACAGGAGGAACCTGAAGGAGGCTATGCCGAAGGGCGGAGTCTCCTTTGGGGAGGTAAAACCGGCCCTGAACCCGTTTATACGGGTTCAATGGGCATATTTTTGGCTGAGCCCACGGGCTCGGAATGCCCACGTTAAAAAGGCCTTGTGCCACATGACACCCTCGTGGGGGAGGTGACTGAATATCGTCAGTTTACTAAATGGCCGACTCCTCAATCACATTTACAAGCAATATGCATAAATATTGCCACTTTTATAAAATATGTAGAGCTCTAGTCAGTTATCAAGAGAATTAAATTGAATTTCAAATACAGCATAAATACTGACTTAACCTATCAACAGGTGATGTTATATCTGTGAAATATCTTATCAGCTGTTTTGTAGACAAAGGAATTTCTTTTGCAACATTAATTGGTTAAAGTATGTAAAACCACAAAATAGCCTATGTTTGGAATTTTTGAAATGAGGAATTATTATTATAATTCTTATGTCTTTCATACTCATTTTGGTAGTTATATGAAATGCTGTGATTATAACAACCAATGAAGATACTAGTCTGAATGCAAAGATACAATAATTATGACATTTTTTTTACATTATTTTGTTTAATTTGTACTTTAAATTGCTTTTTTTTTCTGACAATAAATTGAAATTGAAATGATGTTCTTCAAATGTTTCAAGATTCAGTCAGAAATTAGCATAAAAATAAACTAACTAAAAGCTCCTTAGGAAATGGTACACTGTATATTTTTGTAAGGCAGGAATAAAACTAACTTGTATATTTTAGCATCACATAAGAAAAAAAAAAAGAAAGAATCATATTTATAATTTTGTATAGCAACTTTATTCATTTGTAATTGCAAATAATAATAATTTTTCATTTAACAACCATTTTTTTATCAACTGATATGAATAAAAGAAAGTTGGAAACAATTTACCTGTAATGCTGTCATGCTAGGTCGATACTGGTTTCTTAATCCCATATTAAACATCAAATACTTAAGAATGTTGAAAGCTGACTCTTCATCCATCTAGAAATAATATAATCACAATATCATGGAGAGAATACAATTTCTAAAGTAAAATATTTGCATTACATCTTCTATGAAGAAAGGCAAACAAAAAAAATTATTCCTTTTTTAAGTTCTCAGATTTTAAGTTAAAAAGAAAAAAATAATTTTTAGATTTTTCACATTAGCAACTTCTACTGTTTTTAACAAATAAAGATTAGTTATTATTTAGTGCCATTTTGACCAGATGATTTCAACACAAAGAAAAAGTTATATAGATATTCAGAACCTACCTAGCTTGTGTAAATGCATGGCAAAATATAGAGAGATAACAGAAAGAAAAAAATTACTAAGAACTACAAAGGACAAGAAATTGTGGAGAGCCATGATCACCAATATCCAGGAGGACAAAATTCTATTGGTACAAACAGCAATAATTTGTTAATGTTGAAAATGCACAAGAAAATGCAGAGAGGACAAAATGGCCAAAAAGGATGATGCTAATCAAAACCAAGTGCCATAAAAAAAAAAGAAAAAGCACAAAATAAACAGTTCTTCCTGAACATCAGAATAGTTTTGCAATTAGAAAAATAAGTACCTCTAATGTAGCCTGAATATGGTGCCAACTACTATGGTACTGAAGAAAGAAACCTTCTCTTCAACAGTAAAAATGATCAAAAGTGGTTCTGATAAAGTTTCAGTTGGTCAAAATCACTTACCTGAAGACAAAATTAAAATAAAGAATTAAAAAAAACAATTCCCCCAAATCAAGAGTAAACCATTGAACTATTAGTCCATTCTGATGTGGATAATAAATTTTCTTTGTGGCTGGTCTTTTGAACAGGAGTCAAGTTTTATTCCTTGTTTACTGTTTAGGATTGGGTTTCTGGTTCCTTCTAAAGTCTTCTCATTCTGTTTCACTCCCAGTAGCCCCTTGGACCTTAGTGGCATTATTGCCTTGCTTGAGGTGAATTGATAAAAAAAATAAATAAATAAAATAACTTAACTGACAATTCAGGTTCAAATCTTAGGATTGTTAGTTTATCCCATTTACAAGAAAAATTTAAACTAGCAGGTGAGCATTTGACTTGATTGAAAGATATTGCTGCTGATGATGATGATTGCCATTATCATTCATCAGGTGATTTAATGTATTTTTTGTGGTTGAGTGTTTAAAACAGTAATGTAACTGAAATCAGTTCCTCCATTTTATGAATGGTCCCCTATATGGATATGTGGCCAAATTATTAGAACATTAGTGTTCTGACTATAAGACTGTTTCAAATTTCACTACAGATTAATTAGTCAAGAACATGACTGCTTGATAATATGATTCCAGAGTAACAATTTCAGCATGTGGTACCATTGGAAAATGCATGAAAACCATACAAGCTGACCCTTGAGAAAGGAACTTGGTAGGTGAAAATTTTCGGGAGCTGTAAGTGCTATGCTAGAGTGTAGTCAAGTCCTTGATTAATGGACAGAGAGAAACACTTTAGCCTTGGTTGTTAATCTATTTAAAGATGGTGTCAATAAAAACATCCATCCTCCAAGTAGCCTGACCAATCACAGGATATACAGCCTGAAAAATGCATGATGACTGAAATTCTTTAAGTAAAAAAAAAAAATAGTATTGAGAGTTCTATTGCCGAGAGAAATAGTATGACATTAACACCAAATAATATTATCAATAATATATAAAAAATAACTAAATAGTGATGCGAGTTCACAGTCTACTGCAGACAGAAATATTACAACATTATCACTCAAAATATATAGGTAGTGCGACGGTTACTCATACGGTGACCACATAGGTAGTGTGATGGTTACTCATATAGTGACCATATAAGTAGTACAATGATTACTTATATAGTGACTATACATAAAGGAATGAAAACATTGCAACTGAACATGACTTGAGCTTATTAGATTAAGCTTTCAATTATTAATTTTTGATGAGGATTTCATCTTGTTTCAGTTACTTTTTATTGTAACTCACAAATGTTCATGTTATGATTATTAATAAATAGCATAGATTAGAAATAAAGATTAAGTCTTTAGTTTAATTCACAGTGATTCATCCAAAGACAAAATATTATTACTAATACTATGTAGGTATGCAAATGACAATAGCATTGTGTTCATTTCTTGGAAAAATTAAATAAAGAATGCTATTTGGTTAGATTTGTGCTTCATTGGTAATTCTTTGTGGTCAAATTGGTAAGACAGCTATCCTGGACAGACAGGCTTCTTGCAAAAAAAGATGTGAATTCAAATCTCATCAAAGGCTTAAGCTGTATTTTCTGATCCATGTTTGCTTACTAATGAGTCTAGAAAGATGCTCTGAAATTTGTAATAAAAAACAGAAATAAGATGAAGGAAATAACAATAAAAAATTAACAAATTTGAGGCTGTCTTACTCTTGTGAAATTTATCCTCAAAATTAAAAAAAAAAAGAAAAAAAAGAAAAGAAAAAAAAAAGGGTTTCCCTGCAGTTTCATATATAGTGGCCCAATGTATCTTTGCTGGTGATATGCTTTATATAGAATCAGGCATTAAAGTTCTGTTAAAATTTGTGGCAGTTGTAAGTAGATATTTACATGAATAAGAAGCATTCCAGCAATAAAACTGAGTCCCTGGCAGTAACCAACTTCTGTGTCAAGAAGACTGTAGGCTTTAAGGAGATTAAACAGGGCCAATTGCCCAGGCCCCAATTGTGTACGGAAATATGGATGCTTGGGAAAAGTTCGCCCTGTAAAAAGAGAAGAAAAATTAAAGTTCAGTTATAAGTATCTATCTTCCAAAATATTATTAAAAAAAAAAATACAGAACGAGAAAACTCAGCAATATCATGAAGATGATTTTCATCACATGTGATTAATTCAACCGATTAATTGAAGGAGATATATTTTGCTTTATATATGGTTACAACCCACCATCAAGTATGTTTGACATAACATGTAAAGAGGTAGTGTGGGTGTGGCAGCCACGAGATATGGACAAGGAATTAACAGGAATAAGCACTATCTCTGGCGTGACAACTGTTCTAAGTTTTTCTCAGGCATAGAGGCTCTACCAGGAATATATGAATTCTAGACAGACATCAATGGCACATGAAAACTGAGTATGCACAGGTGATGCACAAACAGCGTCTGTAGTGACTGACAATGATGATTACCATTTAATGTGCACTGCATTAAATCACATCCTAATTCAATGCTGGTGCTTCTTAACCCATAAGTTAATGTACTGTTATATTCAACAGTCCCGCCAAAAGGAATGTATATGGCACAAGGCCGAGTTTAACGTGGGTTTCTCTGAGCCCATAGACTCGGCCAAAAATATTCCTTTTGAACCTGCCTATTCGGGTTCAGGACCTGTCTACCTCCCTGGACGAAATTTTGCTCTGCGGCAAAGCTTTGTCCGAGTTCCTCTCTGCCGAGGCAAAGAGTTCAACAGAAATTAACAGTCAATGTACTGTACAATATGCACTGTATTCCATGGGAATTTGTAGTAGTTGACAACCAACAGAGTGCATTATCGACACTATGGAATCAGTTACTGTGCCTTGTCTAGACCAGAGAAGATTGTCACTGGACTGCAGACAGGTATTGTGTCATTTGACCAGATTAGTCACATCTATAGTTCTTTTGGGCAGATTGTAGAATTTATTTTTTAAAAATCATTTCACACCTAAGCAAGGTAATAAAAATAACACACTAAGATGCAAAGGGGTCGCTGAGAGTGTTAGAAACAGAGGACAATGAAAGGATGGCATTCAAAGAGACAGATGACGATTGAGACTGCATTTAGCATAAGGCTATGGATCATGCCTGTCAGCGGCAGGGCTGGATCCAGCATTTTCAGTTAGAGGGGGAGTGTTCCTCAGTAAAAATCTCAATTCAAAATTTTAAATTTTGTGATCATATATATTAGATCATAGAAATAAGTAGAGAGTGTTCACACACTCACACACATTATTTATATATATATATATATATATATATATGTAAAAATTTTAATTTGCACTTTCTTTCATTTATTTATTTGATATGTAAAATTATAAATTTAAACTTTTAAAACCAAAGTGTGATTATATAGCTTTTATGAAAGAGGATTTACTAAAGTCAATTTTCATGGATTCTTATTTGCATAGAAGTTCATGATTGTATCATAGTCCAACTGAATGTCTCTGTGAATGTGCATAAGAACGAGCATGTTAAATCTGAGTTCACTCATTAAATGCCTCATTTGATTTCTCAGAAATTGGGGTGGGCGGCAGTGTACCCTCTGGAAATTGCTTTATTTTCAAAGTTAAAGCATTTGTATCATGCCAAAAATGTGAAAAAAAAAAATTTAAAAAACAACATTGCATCAGGATGTGCCATTTTTTTGCTGTGTCATGGTAAAAAAAAAAAAACACAAATATAGAAAAATTTAATCATTACTACATATTTGCACATGTTAACCAGTATTAATTGTAAATTTAAATTTAGAATTTTAATGATTTAATTAAAAATCTCCAAGTCATATTCTAAATTCAAGATTTTGTTTGAAACATTTAAAATTTCAGGATTTTCAAAACCCTATCCCTCTGTATATAAGAGGCAAACACTTAACATTGATCTACAGAAGTTTATCTTTATTTAAAAATGAAGAAACCTTTCCTATCACAGATTATAAGCACTGGAAGGAACAATGAAAGTATGTCATTCATTCAAAAGCAAAAAGCAAATATGGAAAAAGTTGTTTCATTTTAAGCTTATTTTGAAGATGATGTTAATAAATATTAATATATCAACTTATATCAACTAAGGAGAATTTGATCTTTAGATAAATGAGAGGAATTCTAATATACCAAGGTCAATTAAGATGGCATGCTGGTGAGTGGTCAACCTTCTCATGAGGTCATCATAAGCGACATCATCAAGACCACTGCCCGTGCTCATCATGGGTGATTTCAGCTGGTTCTGTTCAACCAATAACTGCCAAATGGCACCACGTCGACTTTTAGGGACTCCTGCAAAAGTCAAACCAAATGCAAAGAATGACAGAAATGAAATTCAACAGCAAATAAATTTGTTTACAGGAAAACAAAAACAATCATATACAAACACAATCCCTTAAAAAAAAAAATCTGATAGATGACAAACTGCTGAAGAACTGGAGATTTCTTTTTAAACAAAGTTGATGACTAACTTGCAAAACCAAATAAAACAAAACCACTTATTAAAAACAATATTTTGACAACTACACCTCAGGCCTCAATGAACAATCGGATCACAAAAACTGAACTATTGTTACTAGTTTATCTAGTTAATTATAATTAGGCTGAATATCATGACATATTGAAGGTGGGTCTAAAACAAATAATAGGTAATGTTATCTTATTTAAATTATTAGTCATTATTGTTAGATATTTTTTAACTTCTCACCTTTGTAATTATCAGCACTGTATGTGTTTATCAGTTTTATTTAGTCAACTATTTTATTCATGTTGTCTTTCTCCAGGACCATGTGCTTGGTAAATGGCAGTCAAACCAAAGTTGTGTCATACAAGTCTATTTTTTAGCCTTAAACTCAAGAATGAAACACAGTATGTTTGGTTAAAAAAAAAGGAAAAAGTTTTTGATTTCAAAATTTTAAAATACCTCAATAAAAATACAGTATAAAAATTTAAAAAAAAAAAAAAACACAGTATCAGTGATTGTCAGCTTAAATCTACATTATCTGTTTTTCAAACAGTCACTGTAAAAAATTATCATGTCATGAATTCTATAACCCATGAGGGTCTTAGGAGTGCCACATTTACTGCAACCATCACAACAGTGGATGTGTCTAGAACAAGATTGCCTGACGAAGCCCATCCCTCTTCAGGCTATATAATAAATAGGTATCTTTTAAATTCTTTTATAATAATACATAAACACACATGATGCTCCCAATTTAAACCTAGCCTTATGTCACATTCAATCCAAGTGGCTGTGTGGATAAATAGCAGGCAAATGTTGTTGGTAATTACTCAGGGTAGGCGGCTTGTGACCTTTATGTAGTAAATCTACAAAAAAAAATATTTCGCATTTTCTGCATAATAATCAGAGTAACCTTCATTATTTTGATGGATTAGGTGCATATTGTTCCACAGAAGGAAAATGTAGCTGCCGATTTATTTTATTCAGGGTAGGCACTGCTTACCTTGCCTACCTCGATGGTGTGTCTCTAATAAATAGCTATATAAAACACACAAATACATACATAAACACACATTTATATATAAACAATTAAATGACTATACACTTAAATCCTCGAATAACCTACAAATCACACTATTCTATTCTATCTTTGAAATGAATGTGGGTGAATAAACATTATACATTTCCAAATGACTGATCTTAAAAAGAGTTTATATGAAATTTCACTTTTTCCAATAAAAACAAGTGGTTCAAAAGAAATTACATATGAAAACATGAGATTTGTAAAAAGTACTGCAAAATATATGATGATGATAATAATAACAAAACAAAAAAAAAGATTCAGTTCAGCTGATACACACCTTGCTTAATGCAATCTTCAAGTATCTTAGGATCAAACTGTGTGTTTTTACGGTCTGGGTTATTGAGCATTGTGTCCCAGACCTTTGTGACCTCTTTCAGACAAGGTGTGATTTCTTCATAGTCCAAGTTCTGCCGCTTCTGCTGAATTTCATCTTGCCTTGCTGAAATGAAAACAGCATCCAGATGAACAAAGAAAGAAAGCAAAAGGTCAAGACAAAAAGACTCTTATGAATTTGAATTGAAAAAAAATTAACAGAAATCCATGAAAATATTAAAAATGCATCTGCAAGAAAAAACTTCACAGGGAGACCTATATCAAGTTGTTAGCAAAGAAAGACTTACAAATTATTTTAAAAAATGCGATAATAATCTATTCTGGATATTTAAAATGTTTTTTTTTTGCAGTGTAAGAAAACAAAACAAAAACCTACTATAATTCTTTTCTATCTGAACAAAAAAATAACATCCATAAAATTAACCAAAATTCAAACAAACCAAATATATGGATATGTGTATGTATTTTTTAATGTGTAATGTGGTGTCTGAGTGTGAGTCAAAATTTGTAGCCCAACACAAACATTTGCTGATTTTTTTTCTGAAATTTTCAGTGTAAATGTTTGATCTGTATTATTAAGAGAGAAGAAATGACTGAAATTCTTTAATGCATCTACGTTGGAAAATATATATTTATCGCACAATATATTTTTTTACCAATAGGGTTTTTATCAATGGAATCAACAATTCAGAAAAGAAAAATTGTTTTTATACAAGAAAAATATAAGAAACAACTTAAAAGTACCCTGTCAGTCTTGTTTAACAAAGTGCACACACACACACTATATATATATATGAAAGAAAGAGAAAATGGACACCAGAGTCAGCATTGAGTGTTTACACATACATTCTATCCTTGATTTCAGTATTTTACTTATTGGAAATATTAAACTTAATCTATTAGCTTAGAATTAAAACTAAAATAAAAGCTTCAAGAAAGATTTTTTTAATTTTTAAAATGCTTAGATATTGCTTTTTTTGGAAATACCTATATATAATAATTATCAAACTGCCTCCTTTGCAGTTTACAGTCTGGGCTATTGAGCATTGTTTCCCAGTGTCTTCAAGTATCTTAGGATCAAACTGTGTTTTTTTATCGTCTGGGTTATTGAGCATTGTGTGCCAGACCTTTGTGACCTCTTTCAGACACGGTGTGATTTCTCTCATAGTCCAAGTTCTGCTAATTACATAATTTGCATTTTATGCATAATAATTAGAGTAACTTTCATAATTTTGTTGGATTAGGTGCATATTGTGTGACAGAAAGAAAAATGTTTATTTGGGTCAAGAATGGATTCAATAAAGGTTGGTAATGTAATATGTTTTTGATTTGGGTTTATATATATCTTGAAGCTTTTATTTTAGTTTATATATATATATATATATATATATATATATATATATATATATATATATAAACACATCAGTTTGTGCTATATTGAACTGGATCACATTGAACACTTTTCTTTGCTCTGAAAATTGTTTTAAGTGTGTGACTGATCCACAGCACTATTAATACAGTTTATTAAGCACTTTTATTAAAGCTTTATCAGAGTATGAGATATGGAGAAAAAAAATTCTGGTATTTTTTGTGTTTGATTTTCATTGGTTAATCATGTTTTATGTGCATTCAACTTTTTAAACAGTAGTATAATTTGTGGCATTCTGAATTCAAGAAGTGACATGTCCATTCAAAGTTTCAAGAAATTCATGGATTCCAAGACTAACTAAAATCTGTAAATATTGCTTTATGTATGTAAGTGTATAATAATTCTAGTTTGTCTATGTGAGGTTCACATGATAATGAATATTCGTGTGTGTATGTATGTTTAGTAGACATGTTTGTGTTTTAGATAAACATACATTAATATTTACATCATTCAGACTTTTGTCCTCATCTTTATTGCCATATTTACAAGGTTTCAGCCATTGTACGTTCTGGCCTTCTTCAGGTGATATATGTTGGAATTTCAAACTAAATCTTTTATTTTGTCCACTGAGGTAGATTGTTCTAATTCCATGTACCATGAATTTTTTGGATATCTCAGTTTCAGTTAATTCCCTTTAGTAACTCAACTCTTCAAGTTTCCATTCCCTTTGCTGTGGCCAGGTATTGAACTCACAACTTCTTGAGTCAAGAATGGATTCAATAAAGGTTGGTAATATAATGTGTTTTTGACATGTGTTTATAGTTGGTAATATTGTTATTAGTAGTCCCTCAAAGTGTTTTCAATATAAAGAGTTATGTTTTGTTTTTTTCGTTTTTTTTTCTTAGGGTGGCATTTGTAAAATCAAAGTTATGGCCAGTCTTGTTCCTGTCAATTATGAGTGAGTTTGAATTGTTGCCTAAGTGTAAATCTCTTATGTTCATAGATACTGGCTTTTAGATTTTGTGATACCTGATATAAATGCTTTTACATTGTAAGCAATTTGTTTGATAAGTATCAGCATCTGAATTAGTGTTAGATTTATTTTTCTCTCTAATTATATCTCCAGTTGTCTTGGACTTGGTGGTAAAGATCTTATTACGAATAACTAATTTATTTAAAAGTTAAAGGGTAGGATTGTGGTGTTGTTAGGAGGTACGGTGGAGGTAATGGATAGCGGCTTGGATTAAGTAATCTAAGAACCGAGTTCAAATTCCAGTCAAATCCATTATGTGCTGATACCCTTGGGAAAGGTATGAATCCTCTTCTTCTCCTCCCAGCTATGGGTAAATAGCAGGACAGACTGGCTTCTATAGCCTTGGATGGCAACTGGTCTACTGCAGAAAGAAATGGCAACCTACTGTGAGAAAAAATCTGCCTTGTCAGTCATGTACTGAAGGATACATGATTGCCTAAGCATGTATCATGCATGGCACATAACTGACTGTTGTTAAGAGTTATCAATGCCTAGATTTGGGGATTTTTTGTTTAACAAGTTGAATGCATGCAATACACAATACAAAAATCAAGTAACACAAAAGTAAAAAATTATTTTTTATTTTCTCCATATCTCATTGTTTGATGAAGATTTAATAAAAGTGAAACATGTTAGATTGCTAAACATTTATTTATATATATATATATATATATATATATATATATATATATATATATATGTGTGTGTGTGTGTGCTAATTGTTTCTTCTATCACAGTTCTTGAATGCGGAACTCTTCCAGCTTCTTGATCCCAGTTAACTTTGTTCTTAAAAAACTTAAAATGCAATGTCAATCGTTATTTTCTGTCTTAATTCCTGCTATTTTATTGTTCTTTCTCCTTAATAGTGTTCTTTATTTTCTCCTACTCTCTAACACTCAGTAACTCCTTGTGTCTTAGTAGCTTTAGTACCTTGCTTGTGGGGGTGAAATGATTAAAAAATGTGTGTGTGTGTGAGTGAGAGAGAGAAAATGTAAAAATTTAGACATTAATAAAAGACAATACAAATAAATGACAAAAGGAAAACTTTTATTTACCAATGCGTTTCTTCTGCTGATGGACCTTATCAAAGTAAAAAAAGTCCCTCAGAGGCCAAAATACATTGGTAAAGAAAATTTATATATATATATATATATATATGTGTGTGTGTGTGTGTATTTTGATGTAATAGGAAAAAAACAGATTAATGATCCAAAGTTTTAAGAAAACAGTGCTTGATACAGAAGTAGAGTTTAAATAACATTTTAATAAAATGGCTGACCTAAAAACTTGCTGATGCATTTTCAGTCACTTTTTTAACATCCTAGTACTATTCATACAATAAAGAGATACAAAATCAGATTTTTAGCAAGTAACATAAGTAGCTGAAATAGTACCTTATAGTCAGATGTATTGAATTAATGTAACCTTAAAATGCACCAAGAATGCAAAAGAAAATCTTTTAAAGGATAACAAAGTGAGAAATTGATAAACAGGGTAATCTTAAGATTGTGGGGGGTGTGGAAAATACTGCTAATACCCATAACTTTTAGTATTTTAGAATTTCAAGATTAGACCTAAAAGCATATTTATTTAATGTCTTAATAAATACATACATTCTTTGTGGCTTTATTTTCATGTTATTAAATATAGGTAAAAATGAAACTGTCCTTCCATCACTATTATGATTGTAAATCAGATTTTCTTGTAAAATTGAACCTCACTAAAAGTTAAAGTAGCTTCCAATGAGGTGTGAAATGCGAGTTAAAATCTAATCAGAAACTTATTTTATTTTTATTTTCACTCTTTACTCTCATAGAAAAAAACGTTTTGATCCAGAATTTGTACTAAAATGTAATGAGTAAAGCAAGAAATAATAATGAAAATAGTTCATCTAGAAACAGCAGTTGCATATTTCTTTTTTCTATAAAAACCTGAGATATCCCAAGTCTCTTCAGTTTTGTGTGCATGTGTGTGTGCATGGAGCACCACATGACAGTGTAAGAGTTGAGAATAGGACCATTATAAAATTCTAATAAAAAAAATAAGATTTATATAGGAATTTAGGAAAAGAATTTTCTTTAATAAAAGCAGAATAACAACATGCAAGTGATTGACATACAAACATCCATTTATACAGAAAGGAACAACAATTAAGATATGAAAAAATCTTACAACCCAAAATTTTAAAAAATAAAGAGAAAAAAAAAATCACTGAAATATAGAAACTATTTGTAAAATTTTAGCCGAGATAATAAATTTCTCTGTATATTTTATTATTAATTAGCTTAAAAGCCACACTTTTTGTAGACTTTTTAATTGGCTCCTGCAGAGGGCTAATTGGGCCTCTGGCCTAAAACAAAATGGACCTCTGTTTCAGCTTAGAAAACAGCAATGATAGTTTTGAAGAAATAACTTTGAATTTCTCAATTCCCACCGTGGAACTTCAAAACCTCACCTTAACTTGGATTTGGCAACAAGTCCAATTTTGGACAAAAAAAACAATTCATATCAAAAACTGAGTTCTTCAAATTACAAACACCATGGAACTTCAATTGAATCGAGTCTTTCACATCTCAAACTTTGCAGAACTACAAAACCTTGTGTCATGAAACCTCTCACTTTAACTCTGATTCCTTGACATTTTGAAGAAATAAAATTTATTTCCTCAAAGTTTTGGGGATACTTTAAACTGAATTTAAAACAA